TGGTATATGATTGTGATGGAATACTATTGTTCTTTAAGAAGTGATTGATGAGCAGGATGCTTTCAGAAAATCCTGGAAAGACTTAAATGAACTGATGCAAAGTGAAGTGAGCAAAACCAGAACATTGTACACAGTAACAATATTGTACAATGTCAACTGTGAGTGACTTAGCTATTCTGTCAGCAATACAGTGATCCAAAACAATTCCAAAGGATTTATAATGAAAAATGCTCTCCACCTCCAGAGAAATAATTGATGAAGTTTGAATGCAGATTGAAGCATACTTTTTTTTTTTACTTTATTTTTCTTGGGTTGTTTTTTTTTACTCTGTGTTTTCTTTTACATTACTAATATTGAAATGTGTTTTGCATGACTGCACACGTATAAGCTATATCAAATTGCTTACCCTCTCTGTAGGGGATGGAGGAAGGAAGACAATTTGGAACTCAATTTAAAAAAAAAAAGTTAAAATTTGCTTTTACATGTAATTGGAAAAAAATAAAATATTTTTTAAAAAAAAGATTTCTTTAAAAAAAATCTGCCCCTTTGGATGGTTCTTTTTTTTTTTTTGATACAATATCCCCCTCCTTCTTTAAAAAAAAATATTTTTTTATTTTTAAGCATTCTTTTTTTTTTTTAAATTTCAAGTTCCAAATTCTCTCTCTCCCTCCAGCCCCTTCCCTACCCCTTGAGAAAGCAAGCACAGTGATATTGATTACACTTGTGAAATCCTGCAAAACATATTTCCATATTAGTCATGTTGCAAAAAAATAAAAATAAAAAATAAAGTAGAAAAAATTATACTTCAGTCTGCACTCAGAGTTCATCAGTTGTCTCTCTGGAGGTAGATAGCCATTTTTTTTTTTTTTATTATGAGTCCTTTGGAATTGTCTTAGATCATTGTATTGATCAGAGTAGCTAATTCATTCACAGTTGATCGTTCTACAGTATTGCTGTTACTGTATAAATTGTTCTCCTGGTTCTGCTCACTTCACTGTATCAGTTCATGTAAATCTTCCCAGGCTTTTCTGAAAGCATCTTGCTCATCATTTCTTAGAGCACAAAAGTATTCCATCACAATCATATACCACAACCTGTTCAGCCATTCTCCATTTGATGGGCAATTTCCAACTCTACAAAAAGAGCTGCTATAAATATTTTGTACATATAGGTCTTTTTCCTTTGATCTCTTTGGGGTACAAACCTAGTAGTGGTATTTCTGGGTCAAAGGGTGTTATGCAGAGTTTGATAGCCCTTGGGACAAAGTTCCAAATTGCTCATCATTTCTTATAGCACAATAATATTCCATTACATTACATTACAACTTGTTCAGCCATTCCCCAATTTCTGGGTATCCCTTCAATTTCCAATTTTTTGCCACCACAGAAAGAGCTGCTATAAATGTTTTTGTACATGTGGTCCTTTTCCCTTTTTTTGTGATCTCTTTGGCATACAGACCTAGAAGTGGTATTGCTGGGTCAAAGGGTATGCACAATTTTGTTGCCCTTTGGGCATAGTTCCAAATTGCTCTCCAAAATGGTTAGATCAGTTCACAACTCCACCAACAATATATTAGTGTTCCAATTTTCCCACATCTTCTTTACATTTATCTTTTTTTTTTTTTTTTTTTTTTTGGTGAGGCAATCGGGTTTAATTGGCTTGCCCAGGATCACACAGCTAGTGAGTGTTATGTGTCTGAAGCTGGATTTGAACTGAGGTCCTCCTAACTCCAGGGCCAGTGCTCTATTCACTCCACCACCTAGCTGCCCCAGCATTTATTATTTTCCTTTTTGTCATGTTAGCCAATCTGACAGGTGTGATGTCATACCTCAGAGTTACCACTAATCAATAGTGATTTAGAGCATTTTTTCCTATGACTAGAGATAGCTTTAATTTCTTCCTCTGAAAAGTGCCTGTTCATATCCTCTGACCATTTATCAGTTGGAGAATGACTCGTATTATAAATTTGACTCAGTTCTCTATATATTTTAGAAATTAGACCTTTATCAGAGACACTGGTTTGTAAAAATTATTTCCCAGCTTTCTGCTTCTCTTCTAATCTTGGTTGTGTTGGCTTTGTGCAAAAACTTTTCAATTTAATGTAATCAAAGTCATCCATTTTGCATTTCATAGTGTTCTCTATCTCTTATTTGATCATACATTCTTCCCTTCTCCATAGATCTGACAGGTAAACTATTCCTTGCTCTCCTAGTTTGCTTATAGTATCAGCCTTTACATCCAAATCATGTACCCAATTTGGCTTTATCTTGGTATAGGGTATAAGATGTTGATCTGTGCCTAGTTTCTACCATACTATTTTTTCAGTTTTCCCAGCAGTTTTTGTTAGATAGTGAGTTCTTATCCCAGAAGCTGGAGTCTTTGGATTTATCAAATAGTAGATTGCTATAGTCATTGACTGTTGTGTCTTGCATACCTAACCTATTCTACTGATTCACCACTTTATTTCTTAGACAGTACCAAGTAGTTTTGATGATTGCTTCTTTATAAAACAATTTAAGGTTTGGTACAGCTAGGCTACCTTCCTTTGCATTTCTTTTCATTAATTAGAGGGCTGTATTCTTAGAGCATTTTAATTGATCCCTTATTGAGACTGGAGTAAATGGGGCACAAGATGGGTTCCCCTGAGTCAGCAGGAGTATCTTGATTCAGTATTAAAAGTATTCCTGATTGTAGGAAGGGTGGCACTGGGTCCAGATACTTTAAAAATATTCATGCTGTGTTGTTTTCCACTTGATGTGTCTAGTCAACTGTACATTTCATGTCAGTTTCTATTAAGATTCATTAATACTGAAAATTGTGTTCAACATTTAATTTATCTCTGCTTATCAGCAAGATTAACAGGAAAAATGAACCCATGAAATCGAGTTTTACCAGTATGGTCACTCCTTCCAATGACACAGATCATAGGCCCTCATCTAATAGATAATGTTTGTGGGATATGAAGAACTCAATCACCCCATGGCCAAGTCTCTCTCACATCACAGACAGACATTGGTGCACACAAACAGACCCTTCCTACCTTAATAATCCTAATGGACAAAGCTCTTTACATGAATTTGCTCATTCAAACACATTCAAACACAACAATCTAGTGAGGCCCAGGGACTCCAGGCATCATTATTGGTATCTTACACATTAGAAAACTGAGGCTTAGGGAGCTGTGCTCTTAGTCTGTGCTCACATAGCTAGTAAGTATGCAAAGCAAGATTCGAAGCCTAGTCTTCCCAATTCCAAGTCCAGCACTCTGTCAGTGTACTACACTGCTACCTCTCTGGAACATATACAGATAAGTAAATATAAGGTAACTTGCAGAAGGAGAAATAAACAACAGGGGGTGGGGGAGATTAGAAAAGGCTTCCCAGTGAAAGTAGAGCTTGGAAGGAAGCTGAAGATTCTAAGAGGCAGGAATGAGAAGAGAGTCTGTTCCAGGTATGTCAAAGGCACAGAGCTGGGATAGGGAGGGAGTTCTAGGAAAAACTAGTTCAGTTTGTTAGGACTGGGAGTGGGGGTGGGGGATGATGGGAAATAAGTTTGGGAAGGGGTTAAGTGATAGACCAAGGAGTTCCTATTTTATTCAAGAGGGAATAGGAAACCACTGGAGATTTTTGAGCATGAAAGTGCACATGATCAGAACTAGGCTTTAGACGTAGTCATTGGGCAGATGTGTGGAAGATGAAGGCAGGGAAAATCGTTAGGAAGCAAGTTCAGTAATCCAGGTGAGAAGCGATCAGTCAGTCAACAAGTGTTTCTTCAGCACCTTCTGTGTTCTATCCAGGCCCTGTGCTCAGTGCTGGAGATACCTAGCCAAAATAAGAATTACATTCTATGGCGGGGGATGAGGGCCTCAAGTCTGGGGGTACTTCCTGGCTCAGGGGGGAGAAGATGGATTTTGCAGGTGTTTTGGAGATAGAATCACCAGAACTAGGCAACTGGACAAGGGCCAGTTGCCTTTGGTCTCTGCCCCACTTTCCTTCTCCCTGACCCCACTTCACTGGAATGTGTGTGTAGAAGGACACACAAGGCATCAGGGATCAAAAGGCCTCAAGAAGTAGCATTTGGTGCTCTGAGGTGGAGATTAGGTGGGCCAGAGGCTCCAGAGTTAGGCTTAGAGTCTTTGCACATCCTACCCTCATCCCTCACAGCAATTTCCAGGAGGAAAGAGGGCTATTGTTCCCTGGGATGGTCTGATGTACATTCTTCTGAGGTAGGAACAAGATAAGTCAGAGGTTAGAATCAGGGGCCAGGGCGGGGGACGCGTAGGAAAGATTTATTGTTACACTGTACCGCAGATAAGGATTCTTAAGGAACCTGCTGTGGTGGGCAGAGCTCCTTAGGGAACTTGCAACCTAACAGGAATGATGATAAAGCTTATATAGGAAAAGTAGTAGATTATGTGCCAAGCATGCTAATTAGGTGATAACATACAACTACATCATTCACTACTGGAAACCTCGGGGAGGGGGGAGAAGAGAGAGTTCCTAAAGGGTATATTTTTAGTCTGTTATGTCTGAAATAGGATAGCTTTGGGAGTTGACATCTATAGCTTGACCTCTGGAACTGTGGGCATCAGTACATGATAGTTTTGTTGATACAAAATAGTCCTGTTCACACAAGGGAAATTCTACAGCGGTCAGCTTGTTCTTGTAACAGGGAGAGATAGTTTGCCTTGCTAGGCCCACTCATGAGTTATTGCCAGAGATAGGGTCCTTGGGCTGGAGGGAAACTGCCAGGGATAGTGTTTCTGAGGCCAGGGAGAAATTGGGGTCCAAGCACAGGCACCCAGGCATCCCATCAAATTTGCAGATAAAGAAACTGAGCTCCCTTGAAGGAAAAGGACTTGTCCAGAGTTCCCAAACATGTCAGTGGCAGAGTTGAAATGAGAACTTCCTTCATTCTCTTGATTCCATTAATTCCTCTACCACCTTCCCAGAGTTCTCTCTGATATTCCTGACTGCCTCTGCTTCCCTCCACCCTTGCAGGAGAACATCACGAAGTCAAACATTGACAAGAAATTCTCAGCTCATTATGACGCAGTAGAGGCTGAGCTCAAGTCCAGCACTGTGGGTGAGTAGGGAATGTGCCCTAACCCCCAAAAGCTTATGCTCCCGTTTGTTCTGTTGCTCTATCTAGCCTGTCATTCCCCATCACCTCAGCCCTGTCCTTACCAGCCTCCCTCATCTTCCAGGTCTTGTAACCCTGAATGACATGAAGGCCAAGCAGGAAGCGCTGGTGAGGGAGCGGGAAAAGCAGCTGGCTAAAAAGGAACAGTCCAAAGAACTTCAGCTGTAGGTGTCCTGGCCCCCCCTCACACAGGCTACTGTGGGTGAGGGAGGGGGAGAGGAAGACATACCTCAGCTGCCCACCAGGGGCAGGATAGGGGGCTTTACCTTAGCACAGGAGGAATGTGCTACCAACAAGCATTAGGGTTGCCCAGAATTCAGAGGAATGGTGAGCTCTCTCTTAAGGGGACAATTTTTCTTCCTTTGGGACAAGTTTATAAAGCTTTAGTTAAATTAATACCCTGGGCCTTGAAAAATTAACTTTTGGCATTCAATCTCTCATATTTATAATATACCTGTTATCCAATCTTTCTCCTTCCCTCTTATGAGTAAATTCTACCTTGAAAGATCAATAGCTCCCAATTCTAGCTCCATATACCCCCACATCATCCTTTATCATAGTTTTGATGCAAAGAGCTGCCCAAGAATTCTCTGCTGGAGCTCTGCAAGAGAAGATTCTATCAGGCCTGAGAGAGGTGGGCAAAGGGACAGGTAACATGGAGGCCACTGGCTGAAGCCTAGCACACACCCCTCTAGAAAGCTAGAGAAACTTCGAGAAAAGGAGCGCAAGAAGGAAGAGAAGCGGAAGATCTCTAGCCTCTCCTTCACCTTGGATGAGGAAGAGGAGCCTGAGGAAGATATGGAGGAGGAAGATGTAGAACGGGAAGGTGAGAGCAGGGGAGATGGGAGGTTGAAACAGGGAGATGCCCAGAGAGGCAGAGCTGAGCAAATCCTTACTGAGAGAGGGAAGAGAAGGAGAAGCAGGCTCTAAAGTCAAAAAGTAAAGTAAATCAAATCAAAACACATATCTGAACTTAGGCCCTGCCCTCTTGGAGCAGTCAGTCTGAGTGGACAGGAGAAATGAACTTTGAGAAATGAGCTAGCATTACAAAAGTTGGAATAATAGTTTAAGATAAAGCAGTGTGATTAACTGCCAAACAAATGGTGTGGGTTGGGTTCTAGCTGGGGTAGTCAAGGGAAGACTTCACAGTTGAAGTGAGATTTGAATTAGATCTTAAAAGACTGCTAGAATTTAGTTAGGCAGAAAAGACAGGGAGGTCTCTCTTGGGGCTGTGAGCAAAAACAGCAAACATGCATAAGATGTGAACCATTTGACCAGACTACAGGAGAGTGCTAGGAAGGTCAAGCTGGAAGGGCATATTGGGGACAGATGGTGGAGGGTCATCATTGTGTGGCTAAGGAGGTTGGGCTGTATCCCATAGGCAATGTAGACATGAACAAGAACAAACATGGTTCCTATCTTCAGAGAGTTAACAGTCTAAATGGAAAAGGTAAGGAAGACATATAAATAGCATGTAGTCTTTGTCAACATGTATTGTGGAACTCGGGTCGTCAAGGATTGTGCTGGAGGGTTGGAGAATCGGGGGTAGAGTGAATCAGATTGGCACCTGGCATTGGTGACATATATCGGTTTGCCTACAGAGATCCCATCGAAGAAGAGAAAATTAGGGAAAAACCCAGATGTAGACACAAGCTTTCTTCCTGACCGTGACCGAGAGGTAAAGACAACCCAGTTATTCCCAAGTTCCCCTTGAGTATATGTATGGAGTGGGCCCAACAGAACGGCTTGTCAAACTTCAGGTTATTGATGATGGGAGAGCCTTGGTATGTTGAGGAAGGAGGAATTGTCACTCAATAGGCCAGACTCCCTTTTTTTCTTTTTAAAGTACATTTTATCAATCACTTCTGTCTTTACACACACACACACACACACACTCTCTCTCTCTCTCTCTCTCTCTCTCTCACACACACACACACACACACTCACTCCCCAAATTAAACCCTTCTTCTTGACAAAAACAAGCAAAAGCAAACATATAGTGACCCCATCTGATAATACACTATTCCCTTTTCCTATTTTCTCCCATAGGAAGAAGAAAATAGACTCCGAGAGGAACTTCGACAGGAATGGGAGGCCAAGCAGGAGAAGATCAAGAGTGAGGCATCAGGACGTCCAGACAAACATTATATACATCCCTGCCTCCGTGGGACTAAGCTTGAGGAGGGTGGGGGATGTAGGGGGTAGGGGTGAGTCAACCCTAGTCTTCATGGAGATCACAACGTGGTAGATATGGCTGGCTGGTCTGAGTTCCCTAAAAGAACCCCGAGGACTTTGCCCACATGGGGAAGTTGCCTTTCTCCAGTCCTGATTGAGAGAGGTTAGAAACATCTAGGCCTAGATATTTCAAGGTACTTCTAAGTCTGGAACTAAGGAAAAAATTTTGCCACTTCTAGGTGAGGAAATTGAAATCACGTTTAGTTACTGGGATGGCTCTGGGCACCGAAGGACCGTAAAGGTAGGAAATGATGCTATCTGGGAGAACTGAGGGTGAGGTCAGATTTAATCCTATCTTAGCTGTCCCATTCCTCAGGCAAGGCCCAGGTTTTAGACTGATTGCTTAGTGGTCAGCAAGGAGCAGGGGGAGGGTTATGAAAGCCATTCTGGACTACAAAAGACCATAACTGTCTGTCAGTGGCTGCCCTGCAGGATGCCCAGGGTGCAGGTGCAACCCTTGCCTGGGCTGCTAGCTAGGGAAAGGGCGGAAGGGGGAATCCTTTCTTGCTCCTTTGCTCCCTCACTCTCTGAGACAAGATCTGACTTCCTGCATCCCTTTCCTCATCCTTCTGATCAAGGCCTGTCAGGGCACCTGAGGGCCTGAGTGAAGATCTCCAGCCCACTGGAAAGTTAACCCTCATTGTCTTATCCCTTTCTCCCTCCCCAATTGTTTTGACTCCTGGGGCTTCCATGCTGTCTCCAGTAGATGAAGAAGGGGAACACGATGCAACAGTTCCTGCAGAAGACCCTGGAGATCCTGCGGAAAGACTTCAGTGAGCTGAGGTCTCTTGGGCCCTGGGCCAGAAAAAGGTGCCTCTAGTTGTGTCTCCCCACCTGCTGAGTGATGCTAATGCATTTCTGGGAGAGAACTGGAGCCCAGCTATCCTTCCTCTCCTGGGTAATATGCATTTTAACAGGGACCTTCTAGGACCAGTGCCCCTGCCTTGCCTTTGTTGTCTAACCCAAAGACATGCCTAGCTTTTGGCATATCCAGCCAGGTAGGCTAGGAGACTAGTACTCTGAAAGACTGGTGGGGAATTGATTTGGGAGCATGGTAGTACTGCCTCCACCTTCCAGCTAGCCTGCTGTCTGACTTCTCTAACCTGGGGGGATAGGAGGCTGGGGAAGGCTTCACATGTTTCTGACTATCTTCTTCTACCTCACTCCCAGGTCAGCAGGAGTGGAGCAGCTCATGTACATCAAGGAGGATTTGATTATACCTCATGTGAGTGCCTCCTTTTGGCTCCAAGGGATTCTGGGCAAAAGATGGGAGATAGCCCGAGGTGGAGTGGAGGAGTAGCAGGAGCCACTGGGGGAGCCATGTGGGCCAGGGAAACCCAACGATGACAACATAGCCGCTCTGGAACAGGGGACAGTTGCTAGAACAGTCCGTTGCTTGCTTCTTTGATAACATTTCCCTTTCTCATGCTGTTTGGCCTAAATGTATGTTAAAATAACACCTCACCTTAGTCTCGCCCAGGCCTGTACAGTCTGCAGCCCACCAAAAGATTTCCGGCAGCCCACAAAAAATCTGGAAAGCCTTTTTCCTTGCCACAAGTAGCCCTCGGGCTGCAGGTTGTGCAGGCCTGGTCTAGCCCTTTATGGTTGACAGTGCACATTCATGAACTTTCTCTCTATTCAGTAAAATATCATTGGATCCTTACAGTCAAGGTAGGAATTCTTTGCACTTTACGGATTAGAAACAGAAAGCTTGTGATTTATCCAAGGTCTTATAGCTAGTTAAGTAGCAGAACCAGGACGGGGATCCAGGTCTCAGCCAGTCAGTAAACATTGATTGAGCCCCTGCTGTTTGCCAGGCACTGTGCAAGGGCTGGGCATAGAAAAGAAGCTAAAGACAGTCCCTGCCCTCATGGAGTTTTCCAAAGCTAGTCCAGTACCATATGGCCCCTTAACAGATCTCCCTTCCTTGAGAACATGCCAGGGGATGGTGGGTAGGGAATGCTGACTGGGCTTAGCAGGAGACTGGTTCGTATATGTGAGGAGGAACTACCTACAGCTCTGTCCTGCCGACCCTGCTTGCCACCCCCACCTCCACCAGATGGTTCAGTGACCCCTTGCTCCCTTCTTGTTGGCTTCCAGCATCACAGCTTCTATGACTTCATCGTCACCAAAGCCAGAGGGAAGAGTGGTGAGTGAGCCCATGGAGGTGGCATCTCTAGTTCCTTTGGGTTCTCTGAGCCCCATGGCTGCTGAGGGCGGGGGCTCAGTTTGACTTCTGCCGCTGGGTACTGGCCAAAGGAAACGAATTCCCCTCCCAACCCTGCTTTGAGGCCTGTGCCTTACAGGCAAGGGAAGAGCCTGACTTCAGCTGCTGTTTCCCACCAGGCCCACTCTTTAACTTTGATGTCCATGATGATGTTCGGCTGCTCAGTGATGCCACAATAGAGAAGGATGAGGTGGGTGGGCAGTGCCAGGGAAGAGCTTTGGGGGCTGATGGGTAGCTAGGACTTGGGAGGAGGGTGTCTCCTTGAAAGCTATGGATGAAGCATCTAGAGGGTGGGGCTTAAGTGGGGAGTTGGGGAATCAGAATGAGATGTCAATGGCACCTTTTCCTCTCAGTCACATGCAGGAAAGGTGGTGCTAAGGAGTTGGTATGAAAAGAACAAGCATATTTTCCCAGCCAGCCGCTGGGAGCCCTATGACCCAGAGAAAAAGTGGGACAAGTACACGGTGAGGGGCTAGAAGTTTCGAGCAAGGATGGAAAGGTGGGGGGAGATTTGTGCCTTCTGAGGGCAAGTGGGAGCTGCTAAGCAATGCCCTGTCTCTTAGGCTGGCATTGCCACCCTGAAGGGCAATTTGGGGGCTTGGAGGAGGTATTGGGCAAGACCCAGGTGGCAGCTACTAGGCACAAGACCCTTTCAACCCCAACCACAGCCATTTCTAGCCCTCCTGGTGGCTTATCCCATCTCTGGACATATGCCTATACATTGCTCCCCACCCCCAGCCTACACTCATCCTCCACAGCCCCATAAGAAAACAAGGTGCAATTTTGAGGTCTGAATTATATTAATGATTTGTTTTTTCTCTTCCCCCACCCCATTCTTTAACTTGCCTCATTCTTTCTCTACCTGTCTGTTTCTCCCATCCCTCTGTTTCACCACCCTCCTGCCTAAACCTAACAAAGATCCGATGAGCACCTGTAAGAGACAGCATGTGATCTTTTTCACCTCACCTCTCCTCCATTCCTACCCACCCACTCTTTCTCATTTGTTAAGCCTGACAGAGAAAATTAGTAGCTGCCTCCAGACATCCTTCCTTTCCCCCTCACTCCTTCCCTCCCCTCTTGTGGGGCTTCACCCTTCCCACTGGTTTTCTAGATGTATCTGGGTCCCCTAGGTCCACACATCCAACTGGGAATCAGATTCTGGGACTGGCACAGACTGGGTGGGGCTGTGGCAGAATTGGTCCCTGGATTTCTACTTCCTAATTTGACTGTTATTTACATGTTTCTTATTTTAGAATAAATAAACTTTTGTGTGAGAACTGGAACCCCTATATTCTGAGCCCTGGGCTGAGTAAAGTTGGGGGAAAGAGAGGGCACAAATGCTCTTTCTAGTTAAAAAAAAATGCACATTTTCATACTAGTCATTTCTGAATATAGCTCATTCCTCTGCTCCTACCCCACTGGGTCTTGCCATTGATTTCTTCCTTGTAACAGATTCATTCAGTCAAACATTTATTAAGCCCCTACTATGTGGCAGGCACTGAGCTAAGTAAGCCCTAGGGATATAAAGAAAGGTGGGGGCAGCTAGGTGGCACAGTGGATACAGCCACCGGCCCTGAAGTCAGGAGGACCTGAGTTCAAATCCAGCCTCAGACACATAACACTTACTAGCTGTGTGACCTTGGGCAAGTCACTTAACCCCATTGCCTAGCCAAAAAAACAAAAAAAAAGGTAAAAACCTGTCTCTGCCCTTGAGGAGCCCACACTCTGATGAGGGAGACAACATGCAAATAACTAGATTGTTAACCATAGGTGGATTACATGGGAGATCACCAGCAGAGGGAAGGTATTAGGGGGGGAATGGGAGAGGCTTCCTGGAGAAGGTGGGATTTTAGATGAGAATTGAAGAAAGCCAGGAGGTGAGGGTGAGGAGGGAGAGCCTTCCAGGCAGGAGAGATGAACTGCCAAAGAAAAGGCCCAGACATGGGAGGTCTTATTTGATGAATAGCCAGAAGGCCAGTGTCCTGGATTCCAAAGTACATGGAGAGAGAAACAGTTAAGGAAAAATAAGCAATCCAGTGGCCACATCTGACAGTGTGTATAAGAGTCTGTTCCCATGGCCCCCTACCTCTCTGCCAAAAGAGCGTGGAGGAAATATGTTCCATCATCTGTTCTAGACTAAGATTAGTCATTGAAGTTAGTCTGAGTGGGCTCCTTTGAAAAAAATTATTTGTTATCTTTTTGTATTTCTATCACCTTCATTTCTAACTATATAACCCTACCCCCTTACCCAGAAAACCATTCCTTATATTTAAAAAAAAAAATTAAAAAGAAAACAACAACAAAAACCCATGAGTTTGGTACAAGCAGCCAACCCAACAGCTGTGTCTGACTGCACAGTGCTCCCCACTTCTCAGGTCTTCCCTAGGAACGCAGCTGGGTCATTCTAAGAGGAGTATTTGGCTACCCAGCTTCATTTTTTTCTCTCTTTCCATTTATGTTTTGTTGATTGGTTTTTCAGTTCTGTTTATTTGACTGTGCAGCCACTCCCATAAGTTTCTTGTGTTTCTCTGAATTCGTTGTCATCCTTTCTTATGGTACAATAATATTCCATTCCATTAAATTACCACACTGTGTTCGACCATTCCCCAGTCAATGAGCGTCTACTCTGTTTCCAGTTCTTTGCTACTACAGAAAGTGCTGCTGTGGAGATTTTGGTGAACAAAAACCAAAACCTGTTTGTCTTTGACTTCCTTGGGGTATGTGCCTAGTAGTCAGACCATTGGGTCAAAGAGGATGGACATTTTTCCAAAATGGTTGGCGTTAGTTTCTTTGTGGTGATCTTTAATGTTACTATGTTCATTATGTAGATTGTTCTCCTGGTTATACTTAGTTGACTGCATTAATTAATACAGATCTTCTCGTGTTTCTCTACATTCCTCATATTTGTCATTTCTTACTGCACAATAATATTTCTATTCCATGTTCAACCATTCATCCACGACACCCACTTTATTTTCAGTCCTTTGCTACCAAAAGTGTTGCTATTGATATTTTGGTATATGTGTGACCTTTCTGTCTTTAACATTCTTGGCATACGCACACACACACACACACACACACACACACGCGCGCGAGTGAAATGTTTGGATGGGAGGGAGGAGACCACTGGGCTTTCTAAAACCCCATCTCCTTCAGGCAATCACTCAGTCAACAAACATTTTTTAAGTGTTGTAAGTACTGTACTGTGCCCAGGGGATACAAAGAAAGGCAAAAACAGTCCTTGCTCTCAAAAGCTTATGTTCAAATGGGAGACAACATAAAAATAACTGTACAAACAAGATATATAATAGTATAAGAAAGGGAATCTCAGGGAAGACTTGAGCAGTTAGGATGGCACTGGGAAAGGCCCTCTGCAAGGGTTGGGATTTGAGCTGTCTTGAAGGAGGCCAGTGAAAGAGCAGGGAGTTGGGAGATGGCAAGGTTGGGTGGGAAGTTGGGGAAAGGTCATGCACCAAAGACAGGAAAGGTAGCAAAGGGCTAGAGCTTGAAAAACCAAACAGGGTTTGTAGTTGGTACAGGAGATAATGGGGAGCCACTGAGAGGGGGGGGGGGTGTGGGGGGGGGGGGGGGGGGTGTGACAAGATCAGGCCTGCACTTCAGGAAGACCACTTTGGCAGCTGAATGGAGATTGCACTGGAGTGGAGACAGCTTGAGTCAGGGAAACCAACCAGCAGTTACTACAGTAGGTCAGCGGTCAGGTGATGGCCTACACCAGGGTGGTGGCAGTGTCAGAGGAGAGGAAGGGACATATTCAGAGGTTCTGTAGAGGTAGAAATGACAAGTTGTTCAGGCATGTCCAACTCTTTGTGATCCCATTTGGGGTTTTCTTGGTAAAGTTACTGGAGTGGTTTGACATTTCCTTTTTCATTTCACTTTACAGATGAGGAATTGAGGCAAACAGGGTTAAATGACTTGCCCAGGGCCACACAGCTAGAAAGTGTCTGAGGTCAAATTTGAAGTCAGGAAGCGCAGTGCTATAGCCACTGTACCACCTAGCTGCCCCAGAAATGACAAGACTTGATAGCGGATTGGGCACGTGACATGAGTTCCCATGAAGAGTTGAGGATAATTCCAAGGTTGCAAGCCTGGGTGATGTTAACATTGAAATAAACAAACCACGTATCATCCAGACAGCGATTAAGCAATGCATGCCAATTGCTAATAAGCCAGAACCAAGGATTTCCATAGCCAAGGACCCAGAACTTTAGTATTAATATTCAGTTTGAAGGAAAGGAAAAACAAGGTGGAAAGGTTAAGATTCTTGGTTTCTTATTGAAGGAAGGGATCGGGAGACACTGAGGAGAGAAGGAAAAAGGGGTTGTTTTGTGATATTCTTTAATTTGAGTGACTCTTGGGGGGGGGGTAATCTTGTGATTTCTCCAAACTCAGGTGACTTTAAGATTTAATTTCACAAAATGGAGTCACTAATGCTATTTCAATATTACAGTGACTAGGAGGATGGTGGTAGTGCCCTAGATAGTAATAGGAAAGTTGGGAAAGGGGGCAGTTTTGGGGAGAAAGATAAATGAATTCTGTTTTGGATGTGCTGAGTTTGAGAAACCTATGGGACATACAGTTTGAAATGCCCAAGCGGTAATTGGTAATGCCAGACTAGAGCTCAGGAGACTAGGGCTAGGAAATTGTATAAAGATGATCATTAAACCTCTGGGATCTGATGAGATTAGCTAGGAGAAGAACCAGAGAAAAACCTAAAGAGGAGTGTCTGGGAGAAGAGTGTGATCCAAAGTGTCAAGGTTTTTAGATGTCAAGAAAGATGAGATCTAAACATGCCATTTGATTTGGCAGTTCCATCACTGGTAATGTTGGAGGTGGCAATTTTGGTTAATGATTTAGGCACATTAAGGTTTACAAAGTGTTTTACAAATACCTCATTTTGTCCTCAAAATAGAGACTAATGGGATCACAAAACAGAGAGGTAGAGACTAATATCCCCAGTTTACAGATGAGGAAACAGGCTGAGGTCACACAGCTGGTAAATATTGGAAGCAGGACTTGAACTCACTTTTTCCTGACTCCAAGTCCAGCACTTTGTGCACTGCATCCCTAGTTGAATGATGAAGATGAAAGCCAGAGGTAACAGAGATAGCAAGTGTAGATGACTTTCTCAAGGATGAAAGCAGAGATGGTAAGATCAAGTGAGGGGTTTTTAGGGATGGAGGAGATATGAGAAGATAAGCAGCAAGGAAGCAACCAGTAGGCAGAGGTGGAAGATAAGAGAGAGAGAGTAGGGATGAGAGACAAGGCAGCTGGTGGTACAGTGGATAAAGCACTCAACCTGGAGTCAGGGAGAGACCTGAGGTCAAATCCAACCTCAGACACTAGCCATGTGACCCTGGACAAGTCACTTAACTCATTTTTCTCAGTTTCCTTGACTGTAAAATGGGGATAATGATAGCATCTACTTCCCAGGATTGTCGTGAGGATCAAATAAGATAATCTTTGTAAAACGTGCTAAGCACGGTGCCTGGTACATAGTAGGTGCTGTATAAATGCTTATTCTCTTCCCTGCTAGAGAAGAGAGGATGGGATGGGATCACTTGGGCATGCTTGCTTTGGTGAGAAGGGCCACCTTCATGTGAGGCAGGTGAAGGAGGAGACTGGGAAAGACATCTGAGTGATGTGAAATAAAGAGGGGAGAGGAGGGAGTTCAGTGTTAATCGCCTCCATTTTTTGCTGTGCATTGAGGTAAGGTTCTCAGCTGAGAGGATGGGGGGGGTTTGAGGAGGGCTGAAAAGGTTTGGAAGAGCTACTGTCACGAGTGGTTTCAACAGCCCGTGAATAAGAGTTAAGATGGCAGATGGTAGGAATAATCCAAGGTTGGGATTGGGCAAGACATGATCAGCAATAGGACAAGTGGCAGGGCACTCAAGAAGACAGAGTAAAGTTGAATTCATTCACCAAGGGATTGAGATGGGGAATGAGGACAGTGGAGTCAGTGCAGGGCTGATGGCTTAGCAAAAAAGATAGATGGAGAGATTGAAGAGTACCGGGAGGATGAAGAATAGCTAGGGGTCAGAATGCAAAGGGAAGGTCAGAATGATACAATGTTATGATCATAAAAAGGAATTTCAGAATTCCTGACCATGGAAGTGGGAATGTTACGGATGATGGCAAGATCAGGGGTGGGAGGGGTCCTGGCCATCTCTGTGTGAAGCTAAGGCAGAGTGGAGAAGGAAGTCATAGGCACTGAAGAGTTTGAGGACCTGGATGCTTGAGGTATGTCCATTAGGTACGTAGGTTG